GTACTGATCACGACTAACATTTCTGATTAACATTTCTTTACATTCGAGTAAAGCGTGGGGGCGTTTAACTTTAATAGAAACAAACCTCGATTATTCGGATTTTTCTTTTTTTTTCCGGACCTCTTTTCTCTTGTACAAGGATTTCTATGAGTATCAATTAGTCGCATTCGGGATCGATGACAACTTTTCCCCACCAAACAAAGCGAAATTCGCCTAATAAAAAAGAGCTACAGGATGTAATTTCAATAGAGAGAGATAAAAAGTAACAGAATTCCCTTTCACCTTCAAACTCGTGCATTTATGAGTCACAATTTGTAGATATATCTGCTGTACCATACATGTATTTCTGCGTTCCTATTTTTGACTCGTGCACGTTAAAATTGGCATCGGAGGCTAATATGCTAAGAAACACTTATTTCTCCTGATGCTCTAATTCTTTCTCATCTTTTGCCCTCTAGCTACCCTACTAATAGTGTTTACTTTCGCTTCCAGACAATTATAATGTAGACACCTAGCAAAGTTGGTAAAATAAGTGACTAATGACCGACTCAAAAGAATACAGTGAGTTTTGTTGCCCTGACAGGGCAAGGTAAAGCAATCTTCACTGTTTGCCGTGGGGCCAGTCACTTTAATTTTTATTTTTTTAAAGTGATTCTCATACATCCCAACTCGAAAATGACTACAAAAAATAATTTTTATAGGCAGGCTGGCATACACATTTGCTGCGGTTTCACGGTGAACGACCTTATCATGTGAGAGTCGAATTTTGAATTTTGTTTCTCCAAGAAAAGTAAGTGTATTTTGATTCACGACTCGCGACATGTTCAGCCCTCCAATCAAAAGATATATTTAAGTTGGGCATTGCATCACCTGAGAGTCGAAAGTCAAGTCGTTGTTTCCTCGGGGGCTTAGTGAATTTTGTTTATCCGAGAAAGTAAGTGTATTTTGATTCACGACTCGCGACATGTTCAGCCCTTCAATCAAAAGACGTATTTAAGTTGGGCATTGCATAAATGTCGCGTTCAGAGCTCTCTGCAAGTCAAGAATTATATTATGCTTTCAGCACCCATAGGTACTTTTCCTTCAAGTTTCAGTCGACTGAAATCCCAATATTAGCAACGTTATATGCCCCTTGGAAGTAAACGTTTCCGTTGTGGCGGACCGGAGTAGGCTATGTAGGGGCTCTTTTCATACCGCGTGCATGTTTACAATTAGGAGGCTACAATAGTCGTCATTCCATACGAGGGGGTTCTCCTATCACATCGAAGGTTTCTGTATCACAAAGTCCATTGAACTCACACGAGTGACAATCTCGCTTAGAGGTTGAGAGTAGCCATTACTTGTTTGAAGACCAGTGGTATCTATGTTCTCTGTGATGCAATGCCGATGCCTCGATCGCAAGCAGATTTGCTCGATTTTTCATGACAAAATACTGTAAACCAATAGTAACTAGAACTCATGTTTGTTCTATGAGTTAATTCTCGAGAGAGAATTGTTCGTTCATTTTTCTCAGTGATTTGAGACGTTGCTGATATCGAGATTTGAGTCGACTGAAAACCCAAAGGAAAAGGAGCTTATGGGTGCTAAAAGCGTCATATAGTTCTTGACTTGTGTGAAGCTCTGAACACGAAAAAAAAAAAATTATACATATAATAATAATTATAATAAATATATAATGCCCGGTTACTATGTTATTATTACGTTTGATATAAACCTCTCAATCATTGAAAATTAAAATTTCTTCGATTGTGATTGGTTACAGTATAAAAACTCGTGTCATGTCTAAAAAGTGAAAAAAAAAACCCTCCCCAGTCCCCGCGGGGTTGAAGGTCAAGATCTGTATGATTACTTTTTTATTTTCCGGGAGATTTCCCAGCTAGCCTCGACCTCTTGTGCTAAGCATGGTTTTTCTCAATGGCTTGAAATTGAAACTTGAAATTTTCTTGTGTCAGAAAGGTTATATATGGATGTACACGTGACATGAGAGAGCTCTGAAAAGCGCTAATCAGACGTAAGAGATAGGTCACCATGGGAATGGAGAGGGGATCAGTGGTCGCTAACAGAGTTTAAAGGTGGAACTAAAGAAAATTGGCGGCCAATGAGGAAGTTCGTTAGAATAATTCAGAACGTTATGGAAGGAATACGAGCGCTTTTTAAAGTACCAAGTCATATAAAGGAATCTTCCCTGTTAAGGATTAATTCTTGTCCGATGGCTTGCTCAAGTTACTCACCCGATAGTAAGTAAATACATCGAGTTTCTCACTCACACTCACCTTCCTTTTCTAACTTTTCCTCGACTTTTCTTCTCACGTTTATGCGGTAGGAAAGGTCTTTTGTATATATACTTCTCACTCAAACGTATTTATCCAAGTGGCTTAATATTCAAGATTTATGTTGTTATCAAAGTTAGAGAGCAATCTTCTTGAAACCAGTATATTCTTACCTTCAGTTTCCTTCCACTCCTCTCGTATTTTTGTATCGAAAAACTCTTTTATCAACTTTTCATACAATTTTAATGAACTTTGAGACAATGATTAAAAGAAATAAATAGAAACAGCTTAAGAACCCACACATAAATTATGCATCAGTCAACTTTGCACGAAGTACTGATCAAGACTTGGGGTTAGCGTTTCTTTACATTTGAGTAAAGTGTGAGGGCATTTAGCTAGAAACAAACCTAGGGATTGGGGTAGGGTTTTTTTTCCACTTTTTAGACATGACACGAGTTTTTATACTGTAAACAGTCACAATCGAAGAAATTTTAATTTTCAATGATTGAGAGGTTTATATAAAACGTAATAATAACATAACAACCGGGCATTATATATATATATATATATATATACACAGGACGAAATCACATGTTTCCGTATTTCTGAAACGTGGCGGAAACATGCAACTCCATGTTTCCGTTATGTTTACGTAAAAGTGGTCCGGTTCCGTTGTATACGCAGCAACGGAAACGCGAGAAAACGTCACGAAACACAGGTTATCCGTCGTGTTTCCGGAACGGTTTAACATGTTTCTGCCACGTTTCCGTTTACGGATTCTTGCAATTTCGTCCTGTGATATTTATTTATTTTTATCGTGTCCAGAGCTTCACACAAGTCAAGAACTATATGACGCTTTTAGCACCCATAAGCTCCTTTTCCTTTGGGTTTTTAGCCGATTCAAATCTCGATATCAGCAACGTCTCAAATCACTGAGAAAAATGAACGAACAATCCTCTCTCGAATTTTAACTCATAGAACAAACACGAGTTCTAGTTACTATTGGTTTACAGTATTTTGTCATGAAAAATCGAGCAAATCTGCTTGCGATCGAGGCATCGGCATTGCATCACTGAGAGAACATAGATACAACTGGTCTTCAAACAAGTAATGGCTACTCTCAACCTCTTAGCGAGATTGTCGCTCGTGTGAGTTCAGTGGTACAGAAACCTTCGATGTGATAGGAGAACCCCCTTGTATGGAATGACGACTATTGTAGCCTCCTAATTGTAAACATGCACGCGGTATGAAAAGAGCCCCTACATAGCCTACTCCGGTCCGCCACAACGGCAACGTTTACTTCTAAGGGGCACATAACGTTGCTAATATTGGGATTTCAGTCGACTGAAACTTGAAGGAAAAGTACCTATGGGTGCTGAAAGCATAAAATAATTCTTGACTTGTAGAGAGCTCTGAACGCGACATTTATGCAATGCCCAACTTAAATACGTCTTTTGATTGAAGGGCTGAACATGTCGCGAGTCGTGAATCAAAATACACTTACTTTCTTGGATAAACAAAATTCACTAAGCCCCCGAGGAAACAACGACTTGACTTTCGACTCTCAGGTGATGCAATGCCCAACTTAAACATGTCTTTTGATTGGAGGGCTGAACATGTCGCGAGTCGTGAATCAAAATACACTTACTTTTCTAGGAGAAACAAAATTCAAAATTCGTGTCTTTAGATAAGGTCGTTCACCGTGAAACCGCAGCAAATGTGTGTGCCAGCCTGCCTATAAAAATAATTTTTTGCAGTCATTTTCGAGTTGGGATGTATGAGATTTGAGTCGACTGAAAACCCGAAGGAAAAGGAGTTTATGGGTGCTAAAAGCATAATATAGTTTTTGACTTGTGTGAAGCTCTGAACAATGAACACGATAAAAAAAGTAATATATATATATATATATATATATTGCCCGGTTATTATGTTTGATGTAAACCTCCCAATCATTGAAAATTAAAATTCTTTCGATTGTGATTGGTTACAGTATAAAAACTCGTGTCATGTCTAAAAAGTGGAAAAAACCCTTCCCCAGTCCCCGAGGGGTTGAAGGTCAAAATCTGTATGATTACTTTTTTATTGTCCGGGAGATTTCCCAGCTAGCCTCGACCTCTTGTGCTAAGCATGGTTTTTCTCAAAGGCTTCCCACCATATCAAACAGGTCGTTGAAATTTTCTTGTGTCAGTAGTGATTTTTTTTCGAACTGCAAAGTATTCTTTCCCCTTCCTCTGGAATTTTTAGTATTCACGTGCGACGCTCGCGATCCGATCAACTAGCCAATCATGTTTAGAGTCCTTCAACTTAACGTTGAGGTTGACATGGTCACTAGTTAAACCTTTTATTTAAGCAGTTGTGAAAATTTAATCGTTATGTATCTCTCAACTCAAATAGGTTTTTTGATTGGACGGTTGAATATGTCACGCGCCGTGAATCAAAATACACTAACTTTCTAGGGTGAACAAAATTCTCTAAGCCCCCGAGGAGACAACAACTTTAACTTTCGACTCTCGCGCGATAAGGTTGTTCACCGTGAAACCGCGGCAAATGTGTGTGCCAGCCACGTACAAAAAGTGATTTTTGCAGTCATATTCGGTTTGGGATGTATGAGAAAATATTTTCAAAAATAAAAATTAAAATAAATGGCCCCACGGGAAACAGTGAGGATTGCTTTCCCTTGCCCCGAAATGGAAACAAAAACAATCTTATAACCTGATGAGTGTAACGGTGCATTTGTCTTTATTTTGCTTTATTCGTTTGTTACTGTTATTCGCACAGTCAAGGGTTGCTTGGTGTACAGATAGACGCAACTAACGAACAAAGACTCTCCAGAAATCGCCGTTTGTGCCAACATTGGGAGCGGAGCTATCATCACATTCCATTTTTCTGAGGTCGTCAACGTTATGCAGTTGGACCCTAAGTTGACGACTTTTTTTTATCAAGACGGGATACCAGTATAGCCTGTTTTGATCTTCACCATGTCCCCACTTTCCAACCCGGACCTCTCCACTTACTAGTCGACCCCAATCTTTGCAAATGCCAGCTAACTCGGAATTGTCATCCAACGTCAATCTCACAAACGAACCACAGGCGTCCGGTTGCTCATCTGTCTGACCGCTGAAGTACCGGACCACAGCTTCGCCTGAGCTGTTGGAAGCTGTGACCACGTGGAATGTGCGTCCCTGTTTCTTGCGGCAGTGGAATCTCAGCTGAGTGAAGGACAAGTGTCTTCTGAGCTCTTTCATGGCACTTTTCTGCAGAACCATGTGTGACTTACCTATTCCACGGTATGATGTCTCAACTGACACCTTAGGAGAGGGACTTCCGAACTCAACATTTGACACCAGAAGCCAACCTCCTAAAATAAAACAAACCTAAATGATCTGGTGACATCCATGTAACTAGAATTTTGGACATATTAAATTATAACAGGACCGAGTGGAGTCCAATTGGGTCTGTAATCATACGAGTGATTTACAGAATCGTACGACCGCAAAGCGGGAGTCCGATTTGTTAATCACTCGTATCATTACAGACAGAATTGGACGACAAGAAGGCCTGTTACCAATTAGTCAAAACTATGACAAAATTTGAGAAAGAAACTAGACATCGGTTATACGTTTTCATAAAAACGAAAAACAACAGTTTACTCGGCGAAATGCGAGACAACAGCGCGCACATGACGCGTTCTGTCCACTCACACAGGCATGACGCGTTAACTGTCCCTTTAACGGTCCTATTACACTGTTCAATTACAAATATGACGCGTACACTGTCCTATTAGTGCTCAAATCGGCCGGCTGATGATAACCAATCACTTTCGAGAATTCTGCTGTAGTTTTGATTCAAAACACAAGAAGGATCTTGGTAGAGAAAGCAAGAATAGCCAAGACCAGAACGTTCCAATAACAACTCTACCAAGTCAAATATACTCCTGTTGAAGTCCTCGTGTCTCAAAAAAAAAATTCATTCTCTTACCACCATATCTTGACATGTCACAATAGACCTTCAAAGGGTTTCCACTCTTCTCTGGGTCGATCCAATACTCCCCGTCTCCTTTGGAGTGTCCAGAGTCCAGAATTTCTTTACAGGAGAAGGCCGGATGAGCAGAATCCCAACCTCGTTTACCTGCACAGGAAAAGGGAAGAATAATCATTTGAAACGAGGAGAGGATCAAACTAAGAAACAAAACACGCCACAGAGGTCTTATTCCATAAGTAGTTCCTTTCGCGTAATTGTTAGATAGCTCTTGATTTTATAAATCTTTGTAGGATCCATAGCATCTTTCAATTCAAACTAAGAAAATGGAAAACCCATCATTATAAGGAAAAGCAAGAGATTTTAAACTTCATATTCTCTCGGGAAAGATTATACATGGATGTACACGTGACATGAGAGAGCTCTGAAAAGCGCTAATCAGAAGTAAGAAATAGGTCACCATTTTTGACTTGTAAAGAGGCGGTGGGAGGGGTGGCAGAGTCTTGAGGGGGATATCGTTGTTTTCAAAGGGAATGGAGAGGGGATCAGTGGTCGCTAACAGAGTTTAAAGGTGGGACTAAAGAAAATTGGCGGCCAATGAGGAAGATCGATAGAATAATTCGGAACGTTATGGAAGGATCAGGAAAACTTTATTGTGACAACCAAAATACTCCGACCCATCATACCCTCCCACCTCCTCTAACTTTTCCATAATGTTAAGCACCTTACTCAACAGTACCTCTTCCATAATAAGTAGAACGTGGGTTACACCTCAGGTTTTCCGGACTTGAATTTTTGGTTTGATTACTCAGTTGACATTCCTTCTTTGCATCACTAGCATCGGATTTGCTGTTGTAAGATCGGCAGTTTTCATCTCGAAGGCAACTCAATCCACAGCTTATTTCGTCAGCATATAATGTCTTGGTGATGTGACCAATTAGCTCAAATCCTTGAAAAACAACACAATCGTGTTTCATGTTCTCATCACTCAGTTTATTTTGGATACTTTCATAATACAGTTTGTGTGTAGTTAATTACCCTGTCTTAAGAGGTCATCTTGACTCTTGATATCGTTCAAAGGTGAATATGAAGAAGCCCTGAGAGTTATGAGAGTTGCACGTAGAAAGTTCCTGTTGTTTTTACCCAATTTTGGGGCGGTGTCATATTTTTTTCCAGGGCGAACTACTGTGGCAACAGAGTATAAAAGGGGAAGAATGGAGACTTACTACCAATAAGGGGGATTGTAAGAATGTCACAGAGCCTTATTTGGGGGGGGGGGGGGATCAAAATCTGTGTCATCCGATCCCAGTTTTCGCCCATGGCACTTGAAACACTCACATCCCATCGGAACAAAATATCACTGTGTTGGGAGGTATAACACATTCACGTGTTACCTTCAATTCGCTCGAAAACCTCGTCCCTGCTCAAGTCAGTGTGCAAAGACGAACTGAAAGCCACAAGAAACAAAGCAACACCACTCAACAGAACGGGACAGAAATGGAAACCAACTAGATGCCCTCTCATCCTGTAATTTGAGAAAGAAAGAAAAACAGATGACAAATGTTGCCCTTCTCCCTTCTTAGATGCAACAAATAGTTTTGATTGTGAATTTAGGGTTTTGCTAATTACACCTTGTCTGACTCAGCGAAGGAATACGAGCGCTTTTTAAACTACCAAGTCATATAAAGGAATCTTCCCTGCTGAGGATTATTTCTTGTCCGCTGGCTTGCACAAGTTACTCACCCGATAGTAAGTAAATACATCAAGTTTCTCACTCACACTCACCTTCCTTTTCTTACTTTTCCTCGACTTTTCTTCTCACGTTTATGCGGTAGTAAAGGTCTTTTGTATATATACTTCTCACTCAAACGTATTTATCGAAGCGGCTGACTATTCAAGATTTATGTTGTTGTCAAAGTTAGAGAGCAATCTTCTTCTGAAGTTTAAATTAACCAATTTTCTCCAAATTGAATGACTTGGTTACTCCTTGAAACCAATATATTCTTACCTTCAGTTTCTTTCCACTCCTCTCGTATTTTTGCATTGAAAAACTCTTTTATAAACTTTTCATACAATTTTAATGAACCTTGGGTAACCATGAAAATTATAGAAATAAATAGGAACAGCTTGAGAACCCATACCTAAATTATGCATTGGTCAGTTTTGCACGAAGTACTGATCACGACTCGACTTTTCTTTCACGTTTATGCGGTAGTAAAGGTCTTTTGTATATATACTTCTCACTCAAACGTATTTATCCAAGTGGCTTAATATTCAAGATTTATGAAACCAGTATATTCTTACCTTCAGTTTCCTTCCACTCCTCTCGTATTTTTGTATCGAAAAACTCTTTTATCAACTTTTCATACAATTTTAATGAACTTTGAGACAATGATTAAAAGAAATAAATAGAAACAGCTTAAGAACCCATACATAAATTATGCATCAGTGAACTTTGCACGAAGTACTGATCACGGCTTGGGGTTAGCGTTTCTTTACATTTGAGTAAAGCGTGAGGGCATTTAGCTAGAAACAAACCTAGATTACTCGGATTGTTTTTATTATGTTGTTATCAAAGTTGGAAAGCAATCTTCTTCTTAAGTTTAAATTAACCAATTTTTTCCAAATTGAATGACTTGGTTCCTCCTTGAAACCAGTATATTCTGACCTTCAGTTTCTTTCCACTCCTCTCGTATTTTTCTATTGAAAAAATCTTTTATCAGCTTTTCATACAATTTTAATGAAACTTGAGACAATAATTAAAAAAAAAAATAAAAAGAAACAGCTTGAGAACCCCTTTCGTAAATCAAGCAATAGTCAGCTTTGAACGAAGTACTGATCACGACTAACATTTCTGATTAACATTTCTTTACATTCGATTAAAGCGTCGGGGCGTTTAACATTAATAGAAACAACCTCGATCATTCGGATTTTTCTTTTTTTTCCGAACCTCTTTTCTCTTGCACAAGGATTTCTATGAGTATCGATTGGTCGCATTCGGGATCGATGACAACTTTTTCCCACCAAACAAAGCGAAATTCGCCTAATAAAAAAGAGCTACAGGATGTAATTTCAACAGAGAGAGATGAAAAGTGACAGATTTCCTTCTCACCTTCTAACTCGTACATTTATGAGTCACAATTTGTAGATATATCTGCTGTACCATACATGTATTTCTGCGTTCCTATTTTTGACTCGTGCACGTTAAAATTGGCAACGGAAGCCAATATGCTAAGAAACATTTGTTTCTTCTGATGCACTAATTATTTTCTCATCCTTTGCCCTCTAGCTACCCTACTAATAGTGTTTACTTTCGCTTCCAGACAATTATAATGTAGACACCTGGCAAAGTTGGTAAAGTAAGTGACTAATGACCGACTCCAAGGGATACCGTGAGTTTTGTTGCCATGGCAGGGCAAGGTAGAGGAATCCTCCCTGTTTCCTGTGGTGCTCGTCACTTTAATTTTTATTTTTTTAAAGTGTTTCTCATACATCCCAACTCGAAAATGACTGCAAAAAATAATTTTTATAGGCAGGCTGGCACACACATTTGCTGCGGTTTCACGGTGAACGACCTTATCACGTGAGAGTCGAAAGTCAAGTCGTTGTTTCCCCGGGGGCCAAGTGAATTTTGTTTATCCTAGAAAGTAAGTGTATTTTGATTCACGACTCGCGACATGTTCAGCCCTCCAATCAAAAGACGTATTTAAGTTGGGCATTGCATCACCTGAGAGTCGAAAGTCAAGTCGTTGTTTCCCCGGGGGCTCAGTGAAGTTTGTTTATCCGAGAAAGTAAGTGTATTTTTATTCACGACTCGCAACATGTTCAGCCCTTCAATCAAAAGACGTATTTAAGTTGGGCATTGCATAAATGTCGCGTTCAGAGCTCTCTACAAGTCAAGAATTATATTATGCTTTTAGCACCCATAAGCTACTTTTCCTTCAAGTTTCAGTCGACCGAAATCCCGATATTAGCAACGTTATGTGCCCCTTGGAAGAAAACGTTTCCGTTGTGGCGGACCGGAGTAGGCTATGTAGGGGCTCTTTTCATACCGCATGCATGTTTACAATTAGGAGGCTAAAATAGTCGTCATTCTATACGAGGGGGTTCTCCTATCATATCAAAGGTTTCTGTATCAGAAAGTCCTCTGAACTCACACGAGCGAAAATCTCGCTAGGAGGTTGGGACTGGCCATTGCTTGTTTGAAGACCAGTGGCATCTATGTTCTCTCAGTGATGCAATGCCGATGCCTCGATCGCGAGCAGATTTGCTCGATTGTTCATGACAAAATACTGTAAAACAAGTAGTAACTAGAGGTCATGTTTGTTCTATGAGTTAATTCTCGAGAGAGGATTGTTCGATCATTTTTCTAGATTTAGATTTAATCCTTACAGGCCTTCGGAAACAAAAGAATTCTAAAACTAATCTGAATGCATCCCCTTACGGAATAAGATTGATAGAAAAATTGATCCGTCAGTTAAATCGTCAAATTCTCACCTGTACTGATCTGTAAATAACGTCTTTCTGATTTACAATTTACGTTAACAATTCAGTTGATAAAACCAAATTATTTTGTCATACTTCCCCACCGACACAGCACCACTGTTTCTCTAAAAACTTACCCCCTTTATACTTCAGACAAAGTTCCTCGTGCTCTCAAAAACTTGAACGATTTGACTTTGAAATGGATGAAATAACAAATTGTAAGATTTAAAAAAACACCTTGCCCTAATATTTATTTATATTCACGCGGAAATCAGTATATTTACATATTCCGTGACCAAACAAAAGGGAAAGTCTATCTCTTCGAACCTTAATTGTTCTTGGAAATACATAAAGCAACATAAACTACTACATAGAAAACCGTGTTTATCTCATTGACTCCTTTAGGATCCGGTGTATGTAAAACTAGAACTACATGATAAAAACAGTGGAGCACTGTCGGTAAGCCTACCACAAGGAAGAAGCGAGCGTCAGACATGTGACCTAATTAGATATTTGTGCGCTAAAACGGCTTTACAATCCACAGCTGAGGGTAACGGTGCATTTCTTGTGTTCGTCTCTGTTTTCAGTCTATTCGTTTGAAGAAGTTATTCTCACAGTCAAGGGTTGCTTGGTGTACAGACAGCTCTGAGTTAAACGCAACTAACGAACAAAGACTTTCCAGAAATCGCCGATTGAGTTTACACTCTGAGAGGCGACATCATCACATTCCATGTCGTTGTCGCTATTCAAGTAGACCCTAAGGTGATACTTAAATTGTCAGAAGGCAGGGAAGCTCTATAACCTCTTTTGATCTCCACCATGTCCCCACTTTCCAACATAGTACTTTCCATTTGCTAGTCCCCAATCTTTGCAAATGCTAGCTAACTTGGAATTGTCATCCAACGTCAATCTCACAAACGAAACACAGGCGTCCGGTTGCTCATCTGTCCGACCGCTGAAGTACTGGACCACAGCTTCACCTGAGCTGTTGAAAGCTGTGACCACGTGGAATGTGCGTCCCTGTTTCTTACGGCAGTGGAATCTCAGCTGAGTGAAGGACAAGTGTCTTCTGAGCTCTTTCATGGCACTTTTCTGCAGAACCATATGTGACTTACCTATTCCACGGTATGATGTCTCAACTGACACCTTAGGAGAGGGACTTCCGCACTCAACATTTGACACCAGGAGCTAACCTCCTAAAATAAAACAAACCTAAATGATCTGGTGACATCCATGTAAATAGAATTTTGGACATATTAATAATGGTAACAGGACCGAGTGGAGTCCAATTCGGTCTGAAATCATACGAGTGATTAACAAAATCGTACGATCCCAAAGTGGGAGTCCGATTTGTTAATCACGAGTATCATTAGAGACAGAATTGGACGACAAGAAGTCCTGTTACCAATTAATCAAAACTGTGTTAAAATTTGAGAAAGAAACTAGACATCAGTTTTCATAAAACTAGACATACGTTTTCATAAAAACAAAAAAACAACAGTTAACTCGGCGAAATGCGAGACAACAGCACACACATGACGTTATCTGTCTACTCAGGCAGGCATGACGCGTTAACTGTCCCTTTACGGTCCTATTACGCTGTCCAATTACAAGTATGACGCGTACACTCTCCTATTAGTGCTCAAATCGGCTGGCTGATGATAACCAATCACGTTTGTGACTTTTGTTATAGTTTTGATTAAAAACATAATACTATTAGCCAAGACCAGAACGTTCCAATAACAACTGCTCCAAGTCAAATACACTCCGGTTAAAGTTCTCGTTTCAAAAAAAAAATTCATTTTCTTACCACCCTATCTTTACATGTCACAATAGACCCTCAAAGGGTTTCCACTCTTCTCAAGGTCGATCCAATACTCCCCGTCTCCTTTGGAGTGTCCAGAGCCCAGAATTTTCTTACAGGAGAAGGCCGGATGAGCAGGATCCAAACCTCGTTTATCTGCATCGGAAAAGAGAAGAATAATCATTTGGAACGAGGAGAGGATCAAACTAAGAAACAAAACACGCCACAGAGGTCTTATTCCATAAGTAGTTCCTTTCGCGTAATTATTAGATAGCTCCTGATTTTGGAAATCTTTGTAGGATTCATAGCATCCTTTAATTCAAACTAAGAAAATGGAAAACTTATCATTATAAGGAAAGGGAAGATATTTTAATCTTCATTTTCTCTCGGGAAAGGTTATACATGGATCTACACGTGACTTGAGAGAGTTCTGAAAAGCGCTGACCAGAAGTAAGAAATAGTTCACCATTTTTTTCGCTTAGAAAGAGGGGGTAGGAGGTACTTCGAAGGGGGGGGGGATCTCATGGTTTTCAAGGCAACAGAGAGGAGATCAGTTGTCGCTAACAGAGTTTAAAGGTGGGAGTAAAGAAAATTGACTGCCAGTGAGGAAGATTAGTAGAATAATTCAAAACGTTATGGAGGGATCAAGTAAATGTTATTGTGACAACCAAAATACTCCACCCCCCTACCCCCACCTCCACTAACTTT